ATCTTATATCTTTATATCTCTACATCTTCAACCAGGCTGTATAAGCAGCTACACATCATACATCTTACATCCTATATCTTTATATCTCTACATCTTCAATCAGGCTGTATAAGCAGCTACACATCATACATCTTACATCTTATATCTTTATATCTCTACATCTTCAATCAGGCTGTATAAGCAGCTACACATCATACATCTTATATCTTATATATTTATATCTCTACATCTTCAATCAGGCTGTATAAGCAGCTACACATCATACATCTTATATCTTATATCTTTATATCTCTACATCTTCAACCAGGCTGTATAAGCAGCTACACATCATACATCTTATATCTTATATCTTTATATCTCTACATCTTCAACCAAGCTGTATAAGCGGCTACACATCATACATCTTACATCTTATATCTTTATATCTCTACATCTTCAATCAGGCTGTATAAGCAGCTACACATCATACATCTTACATCTTATATCTTTATATCTCTACATTTTTAACCAGACTGTATAAGCAGCTACACATCATACATCTTATATCTTATATCTTTATATCTCTACATCTTCGACCAATCTGTATAAGCGGCTACAAGTCATACAGTTGAATCACCGCGGTAGACAATGATGGCAGACAATCAGATGACGCTGCTGTCGCGCTACCTTCCTGCTCGTGCCCGGTGCACCCACCGACCTCCGACACAGCGACAACCTCCTCTGCGGCAGTGGCGCCCCCTGCGTCGCCGACATCATTGTGCAGTTGTGCGCAGTTGATGACAAACTCTACGAGCAGGCAGAATGTGGCGCCACCTAGCCCAGCGCCAAGAACGAGAAACACGTTGTAGAGGCTCGCGAAGGTAAGAACGTTGGCAGCGACAGATGGCGGAGGAAAACTCAGGCATCGGTCAGCGCCCTCTGGCAATGCGTTCCTGCTCCATTCATTGATGAATCTCGGCCAACGACATAATGCCGTAGTTAAGTTGTTCAGTGTAAGGAAAGTGCTTGGGCACGGCGAGGCCGCGGTATCCAGGGTAGAAGTAGAGGGGAGCCAGGGTATAGCGGCAATAGCCATACTGCTTGCAATCTTTGGCGAAGAATTTGATTGCGTCTGACTCGTCATTGATGAAAGCGCAGCAACCGTCCAGTATACGGTCGTGCGCCTCGTTCAGTGAATCGAATATTACTACGCGGCGCCACAGTCGCCCGAGATCAGATTCGGGGTCACTGGCGGAAAGAAGTTGCTCTTCCGATTGGCCGCGATAGACGAGCGGTGTCAGTGGACTGGTGGCGGCCTCTTGTATGGATGTAAACGGGTACGAATGGATGTTTCGTACCAATTGATGGCTGACCAGCGTGGCAGAGTAGGTCGCTGTGATGACCAGAGCAAACAGCCACCACAGTCCGACCAGCATCCGTGACGGCATGTCGACAGCGTTATACGTGCCGCCCTGCTGCAGCACGGATCCCAGCTTGAACATCACGTACCTGCCGCTCGCCTCCACCCAGCTCCTCTCTCCTCTCCCGGACCCTCTCCCTTGACCCAGGGTCCTCCATATCTCGTAAAGCGTCCCTACACAAGCAAGCAAGTAACCGAACACGAACAGCCACGTGCTATAGTGGAAAGGAGCGAGTATCGTCAGTGGCGCCACTTCTCCCACCCTCTCGGCCCGGATCACGAAGCTGTAACGGGACTCGGCGAGTGGATGCAGAAAGCTGACGAATCTCTGACGTTGCTCCGTGATTCGCAGATACGCTGCGATGTCTATCTCTCCCGCTGCCATCCCAGCGACTATGCCATCGAAGCCGTAGCAGCGTGCCGTCACGGTGTAGGTGAAGTACATGAACGTAGACAGCTCTTGGATAACGCGCGATCCCAAATGAAACTCAGTGTGGTTAGAGCACGACCACAGCGCTACCTTCAGGTGAACGCCGCTGAGGTTAAGCGAGGCGCGGGCGGGCGGCATTCTTACATCCTTGCTCATGAGGAACAGTCGCTCGGCGCTCTATCCCGAGGTGAATCTGGAAATAGATTGGTGTGTTCCGGACTTTTATTTGACGTAGGGTTACCAGACGGATAAGTTGCCATGGTGACAGCAACGCACAACGTGGTTACGGTGAATAATTATCATCGTGATGAAAGATATTGCAGCGGCGCCTGTAACAATGTGATAGCTTCTGTCACGATTTTCCAGCCTCTATCACAGTGTACTATCATATCTGTCACGATGTAGGAATATCTGTCACGATGTAGAAAGCTGTGTCACGATGTAGCAGATTCCGTCACGATGTATCAATACATGTCACGATGTAGCAATATCTGTCACGATGTAGAATTCTCCTTCTTCTTCTTCTTCTTCGTCTTCTTCTCGGGTCACCACACTACACTCGACCACATAATGAGCTGTTGTGTAGTGTGGTAGAAGGATTCGCACGCTAACGCTCACTCACACGCACCCAGCGCTCACTGGCACCTTGCTTGCGCAGCGATCATACCGACCGACAGACCTTCTGCGCAAATCCAGTCGCAATGTGTATCGATGTGTGTGCTTAAAGTTTTTCCACGACGATGGTGACATGCGAGAAGAGTTTCAGCGATGTAGAGCAAATAGTCGCGGATTGGCGTGCTGTTTCCGCCGCCTCCGCCGCCGCCGCCGCAGTAGATGCCGTCTGCTGGTGCATTCTCTCGCATGTGCCAAGCTTTGATTGCGTTCGATTTTTTTTCGCTGATCGATTACGATGAAATGTCGAGTGTGAACATCGTTGTTGTCGCTCTAGCTACTGCGCTTTGCTTTGCTTTGCGGACAAACCTTTGCGCGAGCACTACCGATTACGACGTCCCATGTAGCAGTCCTCTGTTAATCAATCACCGGTGGGCGGGGTTCCGACCCCCGAGCTGAGAGGGACCGAGAGCACTTAAATTCGAGGCCCTATGGCTTTAGGTCCATCGCACATCACAGCAATGCGATCGCGTATGTTACATCCAACGCGTTGCATCTTTACCATCTTTAACCGAGCTGTATAGGCAGCTAGACATCTGTACATCTTTAATCGAGCTGTGTAAGCAGCTACAGATCATACAGCTTTACATCTTTAACCAAGCTGTAACCAAGCTGTAAACAGCTGCACATCTTTACATCTTTACATCTTTAACCAAGCTGTAACCAAGCTGTAAACAGCTGCACATCTTACATCTTTACATCTTTACATCTTTAACCAAGTTATAAACAGCTGCACATCTTTACATTTTTAACCGAGCTGTGTAAGCAGCTACACATCATACATCTTTAACCAAGCTGTAACCAAGCTGTAAACAGCTACACATCTGTACATCTTTAACCGAGCTATAAACAGCTGCACATCTTTACATTTTTAATCGAGCTGTCTAAGCAGCTACACATCATACATCTTTACATCTTTAACCAAGCTGGAACCAAGTTGTAAACAGCTGCACATCTTTACATCTTTACATTTTTAACCGAGCTGTGTAAGCAGCTACACATCATACAGCTTTACATCTTCAACCAAGCTGTAACCAAGCTGTAAACAGCTGCACATCTTTACATCTTTAACCGAGCTGTCTAAGCAGCTACACATCATACAGCTTTACATCTTCAACCAAGCTGTAACCAAGCTGTAAACAGCTGCACATCTGTACATCTTTACATCTTTACA